TGGGGTAGATGTAGAAAAAGTGTTGAGTTTCCAAAAATACATTTTCATTGAAACAAATACTCATTTTTCTTTTAAAACAAATAAATAAAATATTTAAAGAATGGCAGTGTCTTTTTCATATAAAATCTTCAGCATTTGTTTTAATTTTCTAAATGAATAGAAACCATTTTAGGACTGGCCTCGATAGAAACTAAAGTTTATTTGTTGAGCTCCCCCTGCTGATTTAGAGCAGCAAATATTAGTTATTTCACACTAAACATTACCATAAAAACTCGCTCTTGGTTTCTTAGAAGCCTCAAATTTCTGGGTTATTTTAAGAAACTTCAACCAAGTAGTTAAATACACCTCCTAAAAATAGCTGACTGCAACAGAGTAGAGTGGTATTTACAATGTCTGAATGAACACATTGAGGTTATAATACCTCAGTCAGGTTACCCAACCTTTCTGCTTAGAACCTGAGAGAATGGGAGAAATCAATTTACCTCCTTCAGTAAATCCTTTGAAGGACAGATGTAGTAAGAGAGGCATTTTCATTGAGATATGACGATTAAAATTAAAATTCCAAGGAGAACTAATCCATAATCTGGTGTCTAGTTGGGTTAATTATAGAATGAACTCTTTGAGGAAAAGAACTACATCTTAGTCATGTTGGCATGCTCAAACTCCTAGCAGAACCTCTTCCACATAATGGGTGCGCTAGCAATACTTGATGAAGTACTTTGACAATGAGTATAATTATGTATGCCTTTATGCATCTGTGCTCTTCTATATTTTAACACCAAAGTCCACAAAGGAGAGAACTGTTTCTCTCTTCCTCCAACCCAGGCACACTGAAACATAAAAGGGAAATTATCTTGGTCCTGACCTGTCTCAAAATATAGAGTTAATTAGAATAGAACCATACTAGTCCTAGTAAGAAAAAGGGAAAAGTCCTTTAAGAAAAGGGAAATATTGATTAAAAGGAATATATAAAAGATATAAAGATTACTGAATTGTTTCACTAGGCCATACATATAGATGAATTGAACTTTATTTTGCAGAGGGATAAACTTCAGGTGAAATTGTAAAATACTGGAAAAAGAAATAATGACTGAGTTTAATTATCAGACAGGGGGAGGGAGGGGACATACGTAATACTTTCAACAATAAAGAATTATTAAATAAAAATTTAAAAATATATCAGACAGAATATGGTAATCATGTACACAGAATGTACACCTGAGAAGACATGATGTTGATAGACCTGTAAGTCAGTGTGTTTATCAACTGACTCCACCCAAACAAGGTTACACAATTTGTATCTAATAAATTTCAGGCTATTGGAAGACCATTCAAATACAAGGAATCTACTTTAGCTTTGCAAACAGACATTTTCCCTCTCATTAGGAAACAAATCATTTTTCATACATAGTTATTTCATGATAATCTACGTGCAGCACTGAAAACAGAAAAATTCAATCTTCAAATTACTTTCCATTCACCCTCCCTCCCTACTCTGCCCTTACTCACCTCTCTGCTCTTTAAAATCCTCCTTGTCCACAAAGCCTTCCCAGTTCCTCCAGGGCAGTGATTTTCAACCCGTGTGCTGCAAGAATTTTTAAAACATACAATACCTGGCTATTTAGTCAGGGCACTGACCTCTTTTCCCTTACATTGTCAAATTTAAAAATGACAATAGCCAACACAATAGCCATCTGGTGTGAGTGAATCAAAATTATACCTATTTTTTTTGGTCAGATTGGCAAAAAATATAATTTTCGGTGTGCCACAGAATTTTAGTAATTGGTTTATGTGTGTCATGAGATGAAAAAGGTTGAAAATCTCTACTCTAGAGCACACATGTATTTTTCTTATCAGAAATCTACTGTGATTAGGGTCTGAACATGCAGCTCAGCCTTTAACTGCTCTCTAATTATTGTATTTGCTAATTGATTTTGTTTCTTCACCCAGATTGAAAGCAGAATCTATGGTTGATTCTAAGTTTATATCCTTGCAAAAGCTAAAGCCAGACTTATGGCAAGTTAATTTTCTCTTAGATATAACATCATAACCCAGTAATTGACCTAGCTTTTTTAGGCTAAAATGGTTTCTTGGAATCTCGTGTTAATAGCTTCTCCCAGAACTCTCCATAGCTCTGGATAGCTCAAAAGAATAGATTAGTACATAGGCTAGTCATTTTCTAAACCATATAAATTATAAGTGATAACTATTATTGGATTCATACAAACATTAGTCATATTTCCAGATGTGGAACTATTATATAAATGAGTCAAAGATGGCCTCTGTATATTGTCCCCTACATTGATTATTTCTTCCCTGAAGACTGAAACCCATTAGCTTAAAAGCCCACTGGCAGCAAACTCAAATTTTAAAATTTTTTAAATAGCCCCTATGACAGATATGTGAAAAAATGCTCAACTTCACCAGGTACAAGGGAAATGGAAATCAAAACCACAATGAGATACCACTTCACACCTGTTATAATGTCTATAATCAGTAAGACAAGAAATAACAACTGTTAAAGAGGATATGGAGAAAGGGAAACCCCTTTGTGGAATGTAAATTGGTACAGCCACTATGGAAAAAAAGTATGGAGATTCCTCAAAAAATTAAGAATAGAGCTACCATCTGATCCAGCAACCCCTCCTCTGGGTATCAACATGAAAACTTTAAAAAATTTCTTCATAAACACATATATACCCCTATGTTTGCTGAAACATTATACACAGTAGCCAAGATATGAACACAACCTAAGTGTCTTTTGATGAATAATTAGAAAAAAAAGATGTGGTACATATATATACAGCGGAACACTACTCAGTCATAAGAAAGGATGAAATACTGCCATTTGCAACAACATGGATAGATCTTATGAGTATCATACTAAGTGAAATAAGTCAGATGGGAAAGGACAAGAACCATATGATTTCATTCATTTATATGTGGGATATAAAACAGAAAGCAACAGGACCTCCTGTTAAGATGGCAGAGTAGGTAAAGGCTATGCCTGCCTTCTCTTCCCAGGACCACATCAAAATGACAACTAAATTATAGAACAACCATCCTTCACAACCATCTGAAGACTAGTTGAACAGAACTCCTATAACTGAGGATATTAGAAGCCATGTCAAGACTGGTAGGACGGGTGGAGATGCCTAATGGGCTGGTCCCTCTGCAGCAGCTAAGAATCAGCAGAAATAGCTCATCTGTGGAGGAACCCCCTGTGGAGCGAGGGTTCCAGCACAACACTGGGCTCCCCAGCTGAGAGCACCAGTCCAGGAAGCGAAGTCCCCACCATATCTGGCTGTAAAATTCAACAAGGATTTCATCCCAGTGAGATGGAGGACTGCTGTAAACTCAGGCATTGTCTTAGGGACTGAGAACAGATTCACTCAGTCACAAACACCAGCCTTAAACTCCAGAGAAGGAACAGAAGCTCAAAAAGTGCCAGGGACATACGAGGAGGAATTGAATTATCTGGTTTCAGGGCAAGTGTTAGAGGGCAGCTCTCTCCTAGAGTAAAGTATCAGCAGGAATCACTGTCCTTTTGTTGATCCCTCCCCCAAACCAGACTGCAGGCACAGGTGAGTGAGTGCCAAGTCTGAGTACCCATTAACCAGGCTAATTGTACTTTCTTTCCACCCTGTTGATTCTCTGAGACCCTGTGCCACCCAATTCACACACCTAGCCATAACCTCTTTCCAAGGCTAATCCACACAAGTGACCAATCAGGGAATGCACTAAGGCTGTGGTCGGCAAACTGCGGCTCGCGAGCCACATGCGGTTCTTTGGCCTCTTGAGTGTGGCTCTTCCTAAGCCTTAGGAGTACCCTAATTAAGTTAATAACAATGTACCTACCTATATAGTTTAAGTTTAAAAAATTTGGCTCTCAAAAGAAATTTCAATTGTTGTACTGTTGATATTTGGCTCTGTTGACTAATGAGTTTGCCGACCACTGCACTAAGGACTTTCCTAAAATCTCTGAAAGGTCCACAAACTGCAAACTATGTGTGCACTGTACCTATTGCTAAGTGGCCCTAAGCCCAGCATTAGTAAACCAATCACAATTCATAGCATAACCACTCAGAGGCACAGCTGATGAAGGAAATAGACATATAAGTCCAGAAAAAGCAGTGAGTCCCAAGATGAACCCCAAAGAGGCCCACACCAAGACACACCAGTAGTAAAATGGCAAAGATTAAAGACAAAGAGAGAATCTTAAAAGCAGCAAGAGAAAAGCAATTCATTATATTCAAGGGAGCTCCTATAAGATTTCTCAAAAGAAACTTTGCAGGCCAGAAGGTACTGGCAAGAAATATTCAAAGTAATGAAAAGCAAGGACCCACAACCATGATTACTCCACCCAGTAAAGCTATCATTTAGAATCAAAGGACACATAAAGAGCTTCCCAGACAAGAAAAAGCTAAAGGAGTTCATCACCAGCAAACCAGTATTAAATAAAATGTTAAAGGATCTTCTTTAAGAAGAATAAGGGAAAAAAAGATAAAAATATGAATAATAAAATGGCAACAAATACAGATCTATTCAACAATTGAATCTAAAAAACAAAACAAACAAGCAGAACAGAAACAGACTCATAGATACAGAGAACATTGTGGTAGTTGCCAGATGAGAGGTGGGTTGCAGGGATGGGTAAAACTGGTGATGGGAATAAGAAGTACAACCTGGTAGTTATAGAACAGTCATGGGGATGTATAGTACAACATGGGGAATATAGTCAATAATATTATAGTAACTATAAATGGTGTCAGATGGGTATTAGATTTATTGGGATGATCACTTAGTAAATTATATAATGTCTAATCACTGGGTTGTACACCTGAAACTAATATATTATATGTCAACTGCAATTGGAAAATTTAAAAAAATTGTTCACATTGATAACAACAATTAGGAAAATATGTTATCTTTCTCACTGGTTAAGATTTCTGCTTATTTCTTTTCATAATAACTATGAAGCACAAAATATAAAACATTACCTTCTGTAAGTTCCATTCAGGTTGTTCACTAGTTGCATCATGTCCTATCCTTATTTTATATATCTCTCCAATGTTTCTTATTTCAACCTGAATGAAATGCAAAGGAGAAAAAAATAGCAGAATGTTTTAAATTAAGCACATTAAATTTTTTTCTTCCTACCAAATACTTTTTATTTTTCGGTTCCTAATATTTAAAAAGCTCTCAGGGACCCTTTCAGAGTCTAAAAATTAGGCCCTCTCAAGAAGCTATCAGCGGTTTACACAGACACGGAGTATAAGACAGAAATATCATGAGACTTGACTAAAAATATGCGGAAGGAGTTAGATGAAAGAATAGGATAAAGAGCAGACATATGCTCAGTGCTATGACTACATTTCTCACTAGAAACCAATGTGTTTTGAGATGAGTTCCAATGACATAAACATGAGTTTTTATTTTAAGAAAATAAGCAACTTTCATCAAAGCTAAATATGGTGAGTTCTACAAACTTAAGGAAAAGTACCAATGAGTCTAGAACTTCCTTTTACTCTGAAAATCCTCTTGTTTATCTCATAGGCTAAGACACAGATGTTCAAAGTTCAAGGAAGAGAAACAAACCTGTCCACACAGTATGTATACTTGGCAAGTTTTTTATATGGTCCAAGAGTATTTGTTTATCTAGGTAGCATTGTGGAAAACTGACTTTGGAATCACTTTGAGCTCAGTTTGGATCCTGGCTGTTGTAATATGAGTAAAATATGGTGTTTTCATCTCTCATCAATTTCTTTATCTGTTAAATGGACATAATATCGACTGCATACAATTTTCAGTTCAACTAAATGTTTGTTTAACACAATAATGTGGGCATTGTGCAAGGCCACAGATATACAAAGATGAAAATAATGGCACACTCCTTAACATAGAGATATTTATAATCTAGTGAGGAAGACCGATTTATAAGCTGACACTTTCTGTATTATAAGATACTAGAGGCCCAGTGCACAAAAATTTGTGCACTGGGGAGGGGGTCCCACAGCCCAGCCTGTGCCCTCTCGCAGTCTGGGACCCCTCGGGGGATGACCACCTGCTGGCTTAGGCCTGCTCCCCAGGGGATTGGGCCTAAGCTGGCAATCAGACATCCCTCTGGCAGCCCGACAGCCCTCGGGGGATGTCCACTTGCCAGCAGGGAGCAGACCTAAGCTGCAGTCGGACATCCTTAGCGCTGCTGAGGAGGCAGGAGAGGCTCCCACCACCACCGCTGTACTGGCAGCCATCA